ACAAATATTCTCTCCTCATTCTAGGAGCTCAAAAGAATGTCCAAGAATGTGGTGGGGTAAGGAACAGGGTATGCTGGTGTTTGAAGGATTTATTTCATGGATTAGTGGTGAAATGTATTTGTACTTCCTGTTTATTTGGCTAAAAATAGAGGCACTCCGAGTATCTTTTGCTGGTCATGGTCTTTTGTCCTCTGGCTAGGGTCAGCTTCCCAAATGTTCCTGCACCCCCCCCACCCCGGGGAGGGGGGTTAAGGCAAGGATACAGAAGTGGGTCTGTAACACACACTAGGTGTGCAACAAAAGCATGCTGATACAAGCCCAGACTCCTGTTAGGACCACTACAGCTGGGGCTATCTCTCTTCTTAAGTGGTCAAAGGACCCAACTGAAAGGCAGAATGGTGGCTCTGATTTACTGAGGGCAAAGGCCAGAGCTTTTACAAGTCATCCTGGAAAGATGATGGCAGAAGCCTGCTAAATGCGAGGAAAGAAGCCAGTCCTCAAGAAAATGTCCCTTGGCTGGGTCCCAGGAGGATGAAAGCCAGGTAGGTCAACCTGGTCTGCTGTCTGGGCTCTAAATGCAGCTTCTCTACAGACAAGAGTTCTTAGCTTGTTTGTGCATGACAAACCTAGTTGCAATTTGATGATGCCTAGGAATACCTTCTTAGAATAATGTTTTTAAGGCATAAAGTAAAATATATGGTATTAGAAAGAAAATAAATTATTTTGACACAATTATCAGAACACTAAAAGAAAGATGTGGTACAATACTATATGTGTTTTCTCATTAACACATTAAATAACAACATGTACCATTATTTTAAAGTAACAAGTACTGTAAATGCTAAATTGTCTGGACACAAGTCCCATATAATATGAAATATCTGTGATTTCTACTAGTGGCAAAGGGACAGGTACAGTGAATCCTGTGTGGCTGTGTGGGCTGCATCCTACTAAAAACTAGGTACAGCTCACATCCTGACACAGAAGTGAAGTTTCTTACTCCCAGGGGAAGAGATGCTTTAATAAATTTTGAACAAAAATGTTAATTAAAAAGTTTACACATGTTGAGGATGGCTGATTCTGGAAATATAGGCAGAGGCAAGCCTGAACCATACACAGGCCATGGTGAGACCAGGAGAGTGCTCTGAGCCTGTTGTCAGCCATCAGCCCTGGCACTGTGCTGTTCCCTTGAACAGTTTGGCTAAGATACAGCTGACATCAAGTTCACCCATTCAAATGCGTAGTTTCACAGTTGTATATCTTCCATACCAAAAGAAAGCCTAACCCTCCCAGGTTCCCCCTTTCCCACCCCTGACAAACATGAAATTTGTCCTTATAGAGTTGCTCATCTTAGACTTTTCACACACAGAGCTGCCTCCATCACTCAGGCTTCTTTACTTCATAAAATCACCACAGACACTGCATTAGTGAACATGGAGTCGTGGCACCTGGGGGATAAGGTCAGGCTGCTGTGAGGCTCTGGTTATAGCACTATCATCAACTGGTTAATGTGTCACCTCATTTTCCATGCCCTGTCTCAAGACTCCTTATCTAACATGTACTGTTGAGTCATGAACATGGAACTCACGGCCAGTGTACCTGAACACGGCTCCTGTAACATGTACATCTTCTACCTGAGGCACATCACAGCCTCCTGTGATGAGGGCACTAGGTAACACTTTAGCCCTTATGCTTGAGGGCACTTCAAACAGCAAAATCACCAATAAGAAATACGTGGCATGTGTAAACAGTGACACTGAACAGACTGTGAGAAGAATGGTGGCTTACCATGGGGGTGGAAGCAGACACAACAGAGCCTCATTGTGTTTTTTGTTTTGTGGTATTGAGGATTAGACTCAGGCAGGGCCTTTGCACTGAGCTATACCTCCAGCCCTTTTCATTTTTTTGATACAGGGTCTTGCTAAGTGACTAAGTTGCCTAGGGTAGGTTCAACTTTATGATCCTCCTGCCTCAGCCTTCCAGAGTGCTGGAATCAGAAGTGTGTGCTACCATGCCTAGTATTGCTGCATTTGATAAGAAATGGGTATATGTGCAGTGGGTGACTCTCATTTCTAACCACTTTGATTTGAGATTACAAGTAAATTTTGGCAAAGAGGCAACTTTGCAAATACAGAACCCCCAAATAATGAGGATCAACTGCAAAAGCCAATACACAGTAAGTGACCTTTTGTGTTTGCCTAGTTCAGTCAGCATATTGTTTTTGAGTTCATCTACACTGCTGCATGTGCAGTGCTTCATTTCCTTTTATGGCTTGGCAAGTGTCTTTTGAGTGAACACGTATACTTTGCTTATTCATCTGTTGACTGAGGGACACTTGCTGTTTCCACCTTTTGGCTGTTGGGAATAACACTACTGTAAACCTCCATGTGACATGAATACATGTTATCCACATGCTGGTATTCTGTTGGGAGGGTTTACATCTACATTCACAGGGGATGCTAGTGTATAATTTAACTGTCATGTCCTAGGGTTGTTTGAGGGAAGAGATTATTTTAAGAGGATGATTCATTTTTTACAACATAGTTGTGGGTTTATCTCAACATGTATGAGAAGAATGTTGACCTTTCACTTGTGATAGTAATACAGTGTCCTATTAAAACATATTTCAGTAATAAGACACCACTGTAGAGATGTGGGACGTGGCTGCTGTGGGACTGTAATGACCTCTTGGCAATAACCAACCTCTCAAAACTGAAGTAGTGGAAAGGCTATGGAAGCTGGGGGGCCTCAGGACTCAAGATGCCACAGACACTGGATCTTCACAATGACAGATCAACATGTCTATCCTGAACCTGAGGGAGCTTGGCTGTCCATAAGTGCATAAGTGGCCCCAATTCTCTGTCCTGAATGTTGTTGCCACTATGAGAACTCAGCAAGGAGGCCGAGCAGGCTCTGAGGTCTTCAGGGATAGAATGTGGGACTGGGACAGTGAACATGTGACCAGACAGGGCTTCTTGGTGTGGAAGTTGAGGACAACCCAGGAGACAGACACTATTCTTCCATTTCACAGATAGCATGCTTAATGGCTGGAAGCATGGAGCGAGCGAGGGGGTCTGAGAAAGTGCTGATGGACTAAGGCAGAGGTTACCAGCGACGTGCTCACCAAAGACATCAGAAAGCCAGGGATCCTGAGCCAGCTGGATATACGCTGTGCTGTTACTATGAGGGTAGAAGAAGAAAGAATAAAGGCAGGGAATTGGGCCTAAACAGCAAGAGAAAAGAAGAAAGAGGCAATGCCTCTAAACTGTGTGGGAGTTAGTGTACCTCCCCTGCAACACTCAAACCTGAAGCACCTGCAACTCCCTGGCAGAGGAGCCATGCTTCATCCAGGCCAACCTCTGCTGAGACTTCAAACCCCAACTCTGCAAAGACTATCTTCCTGCATGATGCATAATAAGGCCCATGTGCACATGTGCTATTTGCTGGCACATTCACACCTTTGTCCTGCCCTCTCATGAGCACGGGCACGACCAAGAATAAGGCCCCTGGGCCTTGAGGTCTGGTGGAAACAGACAGCAAGCACACAGAGAGATCAGACAAAGAGGACAAAGCATCAACAGATTCCTGACTGGTGTGAGGGGCAGAGTGCTCCAGGTAGGGGCAGCAGCAGGTATGTCTGTCCCAGGGCTGGCCAGGCAGTGAGTGACCATCAGAGGGCAGCAGACACAGATTAGAGGAGATGGATGCTGGAGGTTGCACAGAGTCATACAGGGACCATGGAGAGTCCTGGTCCCAAATTATGCCCCTGTCACTGTAAGGAAGAGACAGCTATACTGGCCTCTCTGTACTGTCAGCAGGACACATGGCTCAGAAGCACTGCAGATGCACAAAGCTCTGATCTCATGCCAGAGAATGGGCCTGAAGCGAGGTCAGCAGACTTCCTGCTGTCTCCCATCACCACAGGCGGGAAGAACAACAAGAGCTAACAGAGCACGGACTGGAAACTGGCACACTGCTCAGCACATCATCTCATGGGACCTGACAAGCAGTACCATTAGAACCCCATTTTGTAAGAGGACAGTCAGGTGCAGGACACAGAGGGCCTGCCCTGCAGATGTGAACCCTGCAACTGGCTCCCACACTGTGCTTCCTTTTCCTTTTCACCCAGCACACTACTGTTGCTTTCCCTGGTTTCTGTTCAGGTTGCTCTACACCAAACCCTCCCTAAGTACTTCCAGAGAGATGCTTATGATTAAGTACATAAGAGCAGATATGGTGTATTATGGAATTACTCTGCAAGGGCCCCCACTGGCTGCTCTGATCTTTGAGGCAGTCTGTGTTCACTGTGCACAAGAGATCTGCCCCAGGAAGGAGGGATAATCACTGCCAAATCCATTACAAAAATGCCATTTTCTCAATTTCAAACTTCATCTGCAGTTCATTCTTTCCTTTAACATATTAGTTTGAAATGACAGGCTTCTCTTAAGGTTAGAGATGAAAAAAGAATCTAAAATGCATTTCTAGGATATGGGCAGCATAGGGTCCCACAGTGAATCTGCACCAGTGTCCACTTTCAACTACCAACCATGTTAGTAATTTATTTTCACATAAATGATGTTATTATTTAGAGCACAGATGGGCCTTCAGAGCTAAACATTAATTAAAATTATAACATAACATTAACATTATTCCCCCATCCTAAAAATACAGGGAAAATACATATAGTGATCTAAAGTTTAATTCTTAGGCTACAGACAAATGCTTCTTCCTTATTTAACTCACTTGTTTCCAGTTAAAGTACTGAAAGTATCAGTATTACTTTTCCTTAGTATTTAAAAAGAAGTCAATGCTATTTAAGTAGTTTAGTTTAGCTATTTTTAAGCCTTTCTGCTGATTTGACCAAAAAATTTAATTTCTTTACTTTCCTACTATGGGTCAGATAACAGAATCTCCCAATCCTGTCATGGTGGACCAAATTAAGAACTGTATTTTTGTCTTAAATGAGTGCTAAGCAAGCAGCAGTTCTGCCTTCTAGATACCTCGTTTCTGGATGAAGACTCTGAGCAGAGGATTTGCACTGGAGACTGCCTTGCAGAAGTTGTCATCATTGTTGATGGGCAGCAGGTCCCCATGCACATCTGCATAGCCAATGGTCACTTCGGTGTTGGAGATGTGGTGGGTATGCACGACCAACTGATAGAAATCTTCAAACTTCCCAGGCTTATGACGGTCCAAGGAGAACCTTCGGAATTCAGCCCCAAACTGAAAGGCAAAAGACAGGTGTAAGCCAGATGAAGGTGCAGTTTATTAATGGGATAAATAAGTGGTTACCTGAAGAGGCTCCAGAGGCACAGCAGCCAACAATGTGACTGTTCTCATAACTGATGTTGAGAAAATAAGAACTACCAGGCAGAAGGGGGAGCATTAAAGATATGAAAAGGCACTAACAGAGGAAGCAGCAATGGCTGATATCCTGAGGATAGAACCACTCAGTCCACTGGGTTCAGCTTGCTGGAAAAGCAAGTTCAAGATTCATTATAAATATGGGAGTCTACGCTGACCCCATAGGCATACTTGACTCCTCTGAGGTCTCAATGAGGGGTATGCACAGCTTCACAGCAGGGCTCAAAGAACTCCTGCCTATGGACTGGAATGGGGGGGATACATATGGGCAAATGCCCAAGGACTACCTCTTTCCTGCAGACCCTGGCCCAGGCCCAAGTGCCCAAGGTCCCTCTCAGGAGGACCCTTGCTCACTTCCCATAGGTTATTGACTCAGGACCTGTTGCTGTTGCTCATCTGGCAAGAGGGACCTGTCTTCACCAGGTGGTTTGGGATCTGTGCTCTTCTATATAATTGAAGCTAATTAAATGGGCTCCTAAATGTATAAAAATTAAATGTCTAGTGTTTTTACAAAACATTGTATCATCTGTACACTAAGCCAACATGTCACAAACAAATCATCACAAATCACAGAGGTTGACATCAGCATCACTAGAGGGCTCTTGGAGTTTAAGGTGTGGCCCAAGAATTTATATTTTTAACAAGTTCCCAGAAAAAGCTGATGCTAGAGGTCACACACAGAGAACCATTAGTTTAAAGGAATCAACCAGCAGACCTTAACTTCCAGGGAGTTCCTGTGGGAACTGACTGATCACCAGTCCTTCCCCATTTCCTCTAGGTCACTCAAAGCAAAGCCCACCTCTTCCCTATTTACACACTGGAATTGGCAGTGGGAAGGGCTGTCCTCCATGCCCTGCTGTTCCCCTCAAAACCTCTGCCCCCATTACTCAAAAATAAGCTTCAAATTCCCCTCGGTACTAATGCAAGGTATGTGAACCCTGCAAATTCCTTTACACACAGGGCTGCAAAACTTTGACACAAGTGATAAAGCCTACAGCAGAACTTTTACATGATTGTTTTCAGATGCAGTTACTCAGTCAAATCACAAAACATCCATTTTATTAACAGGAAACCCTCATCTTTATCTCATACAGCTGACATCTACTGTCTTCCAAAGCAGTTTGGTTTTTATCAGTATACATAAAAGACTGTGATCATGTGTAATGAAACTGGTAGGAGCATTTCCGACGTTTATACAGAGTCTGATAAAAAATGTATAGATGCTTCAGGAAAAGAAAAATATTATGTTTTTTTCAACAGATGGTGTTACCTTCGTACTCAGGACATGAGAGGATGTTGTTGTATATCACAGGAAACCCACTACACTGCCAGCCCTTAGAGAAGAAATAGAAAATCCACGGTTATGCAAGCAGGAGTTCACCATACTAATAAATGACTGGAAACTAATGGCCACCATGCTGAGGACCTCTAGTAATTGTATAGGCCAAAGGTAACTTGTATTAATCTCACGATGTCTCAATAATTTAGTATTAAGATATTTATGCAAGTTTTTCTTTTTCTGAAGTACATACATGTTTTGGGCAGACTCTATATATGAATAGTTTTCATTAGCATTTCCCCAACAGGTCAGAGGCACACATGCTCACCTAGGGAACACTGCTGACCCTTCTCTCACTCCACACAGCAGTATCAAGATGAGAAGCTGAATGTGTATTCCTACAATGTTTCTATCCTGACTGCATTTAACAACTAATCTAAGAAGATTCTGAATTTATTCCTCACCGTTTTAATAATTTCCCTCAAAATATGTCTGGACATGTTAATCTGAAAAGAAAAATGAATTTGGACCTTTTCTGTTTCTGAGACAAAACAAGACTTATTTGTGTCTGACAATGAGTCTGGCTTTGTGGCCTTTTGCACAGGGAGCTGCTTTATATGTTCAATGAGCTTCAGAGTTTTGAGAAAAGAGATATGAAACATGACATGATAAAAGCATTTTATTTAAGAATCTTATTGACATGGGGTAATGAATTAATATTTTTATTTCCCCCATTATATCAGATTAAAACAAGGGCCCTAATAAATGAAAATTACAAGAGCAATTCATTGCCTTTTTAGTAGATTTCCCCAAAATTGAAAAAAAGTGCCTGGCACTAATGGCTAGGTGATAAATCTTATACGTCAAGTGGCCTTTGCTTTCAAAATTGAAAGTTGTTCCAATTGAACCATCAATTAGATTATCCAGGTAATTTTTATGATAAGCCACTTCATGATGATCACTTATTTCTGGCGTGTGATCTGGTAAAAATTCAAAAAGCTGAGCCAGGAGGAAGCCCTTTACTCCCCTGCATTTTACTTCCCTTTATGCAAACATCTGATTTGCTTACATAAAGTTTACACTGATGTTGACGTCCACAGCAATGAAAAACAGCAAACAACTAATACTGTCCCTGTCTCTTTTAGCAGTAAACTTTTCTTCTTTTAATTTTTAAAACTTTTATCACTACTTGTTTTTTGGTACTGGGGATCGAACTCGGGACCTTGTGTTTGTGAGGCAGGCTGCAGAACCACTGAGCTAAATCCCCAGCCCACTACTTGTTTGTAATACACAATTACATTGTAGGGAGTTAGAACACTTCATTAAATGAAGGATTTTCAAAATATTTACTCTGGATGGTTAACAATTACCAATTTTTACAATTATGTTTGTTATGATTTGATAACTAATGATTCAATCTAGAATTTTTTTGCAAATACCTATAATTTCCCATCTTAGCCATTTTTTTTTGTATTAAGTTCTTTTATTGGTACATTGTAGGTATACAACACAATTACATTTCTCATTGGGAATTGTACCTTTACATGATGCATCTTTGTTCTTTTTTTTTTCCCCATTCCTAGCCCTCCCTTCATGCCCTCCACCCTTCCCTATTT